TATTTTAATGAGAATTTTTCAACTTGCCACATGCAGCTTAATGATCAAAGCCTGTATCTCCGTCGAAGATTAGTGATCTCTGTTCCGCGGATCAATTGATCACATCGCCTTCATCCCACACAAATGACACACGCAACAGGAAGAGTGTCAGTTTGTCAAGCCAGACACAGACCACTTTCATCTCAGATTACCGTCAGCGTTTGGTTGACAGTTTTCAACCAGTAATTATTTCTGCCATTTCCGCTTTCCTTACAGAAAGAACCTAAGAAAATGTCATAATTTCCTTTTTTCATATCTATACCAATATGCTGGTATATACTACTAAGAATAAGATAAAGACCACCCGATCCTTTATTTTACTTTAGTTTATCTATTATGCAGACGGAAATGTACTACAGTAATATGTGTCAAAGACTGAGTGTGGTTTTATGCTGTTTTTAGTGATATTCCACCAATATTACAGTAGGGGGACTCCGTGATTGGGCTTTAGACACTGTACCCATGTTGGAAATCAAACTTGGATCTTCATCATAAAACTTTAACCACACGGCTACCCTTGCCACTGTGTAGTATATGATCCTTAACTTCTTTTCACTAGTATATGTTTTTCATGTGTCTGATTGTCTATGTTTAGATATCGCAGGAAAATATTTTCATACTGTTTTTCGTATGTATTTTCTTGAAAGTGATTATGCTTTTCTCTTTCACATGAACAGAAAGCATCAGACAACCATATTCTAGCTCTGGCCTCTGAATAATTATGTCTGGACTAGACAAACCAGTTTCTGAAAACATTTGCAAATAACATGGGTGCTTCGTTTGTTTATCCCAGATTTACCTGGACTTCGTCACTTGTTCTATCAGCGCCATACTCATACTTGTGGATTGCGGTAAACTTTTACATCATTATGGGCTTTGTTCCCATTTTAAGCCAGCACACCATGATATTACTTAAAACTTTTCAGCTTAATGCTAAATCCAACTTGCTCATTTCTGGAAAGTTTGTTTATTCTGCATCCATGCATGGAATGTATAAACCGTCGCAAGGACCTGGAACATATATGAAGATGTGATTCAAGGATACACTGTCGCATGCCCATGAAGGTCATTTGTGTAACGCAAATTTAGATTTTTCTCTTTCCTGGCAAGATTCCTGAGCTATCACTATTCCAGATTGAAGGTTATCAGGAACATGAATTGGGAACTTCTTTGAAATAAGCCTTTTGATGTATTTCGGAATCATGACATTTCATTAGAGGACATGTTTACGAAATATGTGACCAATCATGAATAACATCTTGCATGCATGTTTGGCATGAAACAACATGGTTAGGGATTATTTTACGAACAGTGATGGAATGAACATGATGCCAAACTGCTCTTACAAGATTAAATTTTGTAAACAGCAACCTCCCATCTCTCAGGAGTGTGTGTTGTCTCATGAATAATTCCTTCCTGTTCCACTACCTATATTCTTCATTATTGTGAAGTGCAATGTATGCATCAAGTGGTCACGATGTCTAGCAGAATTACGATTTGGTCGCTCATGTGCACTGCAAGTAAGAGAATGAGCTGACTGGTGGCTGTTGGGAATATCAAAGTTCTGTCATGGCGTTTCTTTTTTTTGGACAAACCTGTGGTTGATATTATGAGAAACCGACTTTCGGGATATGATCACTTTCTGACCTCCATTGTAGTTGTTTGTAGCAACAGACATCATTATCTTTACTGTTTGATGAGATCTGCATACTGTATTTAGTTGTCACAAGAGTAGATAGTTAAACTCATTAAGGACGAGTGAGTGAGTTTGGTTTTACGCCGTTTTGGTAATATTCCAGCAATATCATGACGGGGTACACCAGAAATGGGCTTCACACATTATACCCATGTTGGGTATCGAACCAGGGTCTTCGGTGTGACGAGCGAACTCTTTAGCCACTTGGCTACCCCACTGCCTCCAGGACAAAGGGCAGTGGGGTGTCATAATATTTTACTCTCAATTTGTCATGTTTGGGTTTGATTCAAAATATGGTTACCAGTGAAAAGCTGATTGCTAAAGTTTCTGTCTGCCAAAAACATTTTCACTCACTCACTCTCTCACCAGCTCATGACACCGTTGAATATGAGACACTCAGTGGTTGCCCCACCCACGATGTGTTGTTGTGAAAATACAAAATATACTAAAGGACAATTTAAAAAAACAACTTAACATTCTTATGCCACAGGCATAATGTGATGTGCCTGTTTTGCAAATCCATAATATGTTAGCATTTGTATTTTTCCAAGGCAATCATGTATGATTTTTATGTCATTATTAATTAAAATCTTTAGAAAGGTTAGTTGTCCCAATAGTATGAAAGCATTCACATCAAGTACAACTATGACGTACTTCGTACTGATACAAATAGGTTGTGACCTTGAACGTATCGAGAGTATCCGTGATAATATAGCAATGGGGGCTGATAGTTGCTCTAGCTGGGCAATTGAGATCTTTAAGGTTTTGTGTGTAGGTGTGTTAATGTCTCTCAGAGGTGGATTGGTAACGTAAAAGCCAGAATTGGTTATTTACTGGATCACTTAATCCGTCTGGTTTTTGAATAGAGTAGCACTTGGGTTTTGAGATTGGCTAAATTGACTACTCTGAAAACAGGAAGCGATGAATTACAAAGTAAATAGTACACTTAGACACAGAGAAACCTCAGCTAGTCATACATATAGCTACATCAATTATGATGCTCCCTGACCAGTATACAATTGCAAGAACTCTCTTGTGATGAAGTCATCAAGACTGATGTCTACCAGCGTCAGCCGGCTTAATGCTTTCCTGACTGTGTAAGGCAGGTAACTCCTACAGGTACTCATGTTAACAGACTAAATATATCAGAGTTATGATGCCGGAAGGGCGCCATACCTGTGAGAGTTACAGTGCCGTCTGCTTCTGTTGTAGCAGACGCAAGAACAAGGATCATGATGTACAGCCCAACATAATGGTTATGGTAGGTTGTAGTTGAAGAATGTGCTTCTTGTGTCTCGTTTATTCTTACAAGTGGTGTATTGTTTTATGTGAAGTTATACACAGACTTCTGGGCTGACAACACCCTTCTTCTGTGTCATGGTGTGTTGCACCACTCTGGAATTCTAAACATTCTCCTAACATTTTGCCAGTCCCACTGTCGGCTTTACTACCAGTGTCTGAGACTAAAGACACTCAAGGGATGACTGTTTCCCGTTCAACTGGGTTAGAACAACATCACCAGAATCCTTGTATCTTAGAGATTATCTTCGCCTTATGTTGGTCCAGTTTCAGGATGGGAATCATTAGGACATTTTCATGAGTGTATCTATATTCTCTTCAAGAAACAGAATGCATATTCTCTGGAATGTTTGGAATATTTGTATGTACGTGGATCTGTGATGTATTATTTACCGTCTCTGATGTGAGGTGTTTTAGCGGGATGTCCCAGGATTCTGTCCACCTGAGGCAGAATGAAGCTGAAATATCTGCTTATTATCACTTGAGAAATGCAGAGTTATGGCTTTACTGAAATCTTCGCAATTAATTAGATTATTCTCTGTTTATCTTTCTTCAAGGGAATCTGCGATGTTTTACTGTGAAGGTAAACACATGACTAGACACAGCATGATGTAGTAGATCTAATTTGTCAATGTTGTGACAGAGATTGCTGGACCAGTTTTGCGACTGCTTCAGGTTTCATAAGAAAAACAAGATTAGACTTTGTAGGAAGTCATATCTGATCTGTAATAATATTCAGTGTGCGATGATATGTGAGCATGTATGCCTGACGTTTGATAGATGTGGTTACAGAAGTGTGGGTGGAATGGCTATGTTTGATAACGTCAAACATATTTATGTTGCTTGTACTTGTGTTACAGGTTACAGGTCCATGACAGTTGTTTGTGCTGGGGAAGATTTGTTCATTTTCTTTCTTTTTTCTTTCAATCAACAAACATGTTTGACAGTTACTTCCTGTGTGATAGGTGGTGGTGAGGTAGCCTTGTGGTTTAACTTTTCCTCAGTCAGGTCGAGGACTCAGGATCAATTTCCCCCAAGGATACAATGTGAAAATCTTTGGTAGATGTTTAATAAACTGTATCACATATGTGGAATGTGGAAAGGGTTCTGTCGCTTCTATTCAGATATCTGGAGGAACTTTTGTATCATCATCGAATAATTAGTGTATTTTTTACTCAGAACATTGCTATGAGGATAATTTGCAAGAAGGCTGTATATATACTGGACAAAATAAGTTAGGGATATTGGTATGATTGATCTTTTATCAATGTGTCAATGAATAAATACATCATTATTAAATAATTTCAAAATTTACATATATCCCTAACTATTTTTGTCCAGTATATTAATTTCATTGACATGTTCTTAAAGTCAGTGTTGATGTTAGTGTACTGTTAGTGAAATAAACAGCAGTTATAAGCCTTTCCTTTCAACATGTTGACTTCAAAAGCCCAAATCTTGTATGATATTTTGTTCTGCTTGCTTTGCTATGACATGACTTTCAGTTCAGGTTATAAAATGAAAAGCTTCTCTTCAGCAAGCACCAGTTTTTCGTTTTTATGTATTTTTATTTGTTCTTTGCCATCATGAACATTAACATACAAACTACTATCAAATAAGAGTGAGTGAGTGAATTTAGATTTATGCCACTTTTGGCAATATTCCAGCAATATCACGGCAGGGGGACGCCAGAAATGGGCTTCACACATTGTACCCATGTAAGGGTATTCCTATCAAATAGGAATGAATGAAGACATTTAAAGGACATGTTGTAGACATGTGGCTGATGTATCTGCAGTCTATGGGAAGTTTGATTTGTTTGCTAGATTGCTGTTAACAGATATCAATCTTTTAAATAAGCAAGCCATTGAGAATAGGTTTCCATGGCTGAGATCTATGGCTAATTCATAAAAAGAACATATTCATTAAGTGTTTGGTAAATTATATTCATCTTTTTTTCTTTCAGATCTGATTTTGGAGTAGTTAGCGAGCAGACGTAGGGGCTCGGAGAGTGTCCGTCTGCCCACAATGGAGTTAGCTCACAGCCTTCTCCTGAATGAGGAGGCTCTCAAACGGATACCTGAGTCCAAGAGGCCTGTCTTTGTCTTTGAGTGGCTTCGCTTCCTTGATAAAGTCCTCCGAGCTGCCCATTCCTCCAAAGGTAAGAACAGTTCAGAAATACAACTAAATACAAAATAGAATTAATTTGAACTTTGATCTTTCTGAGTGTTCATAATTAATCCAGTATTCCCCACGGGTTAAAATGGAAGAATATTCTGGCTCTTCCAAAACATGACTTTACCTTCAGTCAAACATGTCAGACTATGAGGCTTATGGTAGATTTGACCTTGGAAACTCACGGCAGTCACTTCAATGTCATTCTGATGAAAGTTGCGGAGGCAGATCTGAAGAAACACAATGAAAAAATGGGTCATGTACGAAATGGATTTGTTCAGTTAATGTTCTCTCTGTAGGTGTGTTAATGTGTCTCCGAAGTGAATTGTTAACATAAAAGGAAGAATTATTGCAAAGATACTGTAATTGAAAACGTTTCAATTTCATCGTCGTTTAAACCAAGTCTTTTCGGTTTCTCCATTTCATATAGCTTTGTATGGATTATTTTTAGAGTGCACTTGGCAAAGATTATTTTCTAGTAGTCTATTTTACTTAAAAAACATTTAAGATATAATTTCCCTGCAGGTTAAGCTCAAGTTTGCTAGATATGTATTGTTATGGCCTTAGAGAATTACTGGAATTGAGATCCAGTCATTCAATTAACCCCTCGGTAACCCCTTTACACATGGTCCCCTGCTCGGATGGTGCACTGGTAATGCTATCCCTCAACAATAAAACAGTAAGTGTATTAGAAAGTGCATCAGTGTACGTACTGTGTTCACTGCAATAAGTGCCCTCTGACAAACGTGTAGACTTTACCTTTAACATGGATAAGTGTTCATACACTGAACATACTATACATTCAAGTCATTATTTCTTGAAGGAAAACCATGTTCTATGGATAGTCAACTTTATTGTAATGCGTGTGCCTACACCGAAGCATCACACTCATTGCAATAAAAAAGTTGACTATTCATAGAACTTGGTTTTCCTTCATCTTTACAACTTCTAAAATGCCTCTCAAAGAAGACATTTCTTGTATGTGTTCTGGCCCCGAATTCTCGAAACAAACATAAGTCTGAGTTTTGACTCAAGTTCGAGTTTTTACTCAAATTTGAGAAAACGCAGGAAAATGCATTTCACAGAATGAACTGAAATCGGTATTAAACTCAAACTATAGAAGATAATTTGAGTTTGGTGGATAGATTACTTTAGTTGTTTGAGCTTCTATATTTAAAAAATGCAGTTGAGTTGAAAATTCAGCTGTTCCAAATTGTGAACTCAGTTTGAGATTTGAGTAAAAACTTAAGTTTGTTTCGAGAAATGGGGGCCAGATCAATTTAAATGGAAAACACTGCAATGTAAGCAGGTTTATGATTGCTGAGAAACTATTATTGAACATGTTTTAATCTTTTGAACCATATCTTGTAAATGGTTGATCTCTGGCTACACATGTAACTTTGGTATGGTTGAAATACATGTTTTACTTCTTGTCAGTTACTATTGACTTACACTTAGTCTCTGGAAATATATAATTTTGATTGATACAAGCAATAATATTTAAACTGAAAAGGAGCCCTGGTTAGTCAGGAGAATTATATCTGTGGAAAATCTAGACTTGCTTCATTTAAGTTTGTATCATTATAGGAAATAAGGGGCAGCAGGGAACATAATCAGGTACAGACACTGAGACAGCCTAGGGGCGATTAATATGGCAAATACGATATGTAAATTCTTTCTGGTCCCAGTTGTGGCTAACAAAATGGAAAATACCCTTAAGATGTGCTGATCCAGAGATGATGTGGGCTTGACTGGAGATCTGGAAAATAATTTGTGTAATTTTCCTGAAAGAATCGGAAGGTCAGACAGAGTCTTATCTTGCTATAAAGTAATATGTAGAAAATATGTAGGGTATATTGATTCTGAGAGTTTGCCAGAGTGTAACACAAGTCTTCAGAAGGTCACATATCCCAATGAAGGTAAATATCATCGTAATATAGTTGTCTGAGTAGGAATTAGCCATACTCGTGAGTGTCTTGCTGGGAATGCATCCCAACAATGGAGCAGGCGTCATCGTAGGAGGTTTGTGTTGATGACAAAACACAGTTTCTAATTAGGAAGTTGTTTTATGTGTCTTGTCTGTTGTCTGGTTTGCATTACCTGTGTGGGTTTAATTAAAGTTGCAGCAGTAATATAACATCGTCACTTTGTAAGGATGCCAGGATTATAACCTTTATGAGATGGGTAGATGTGGTATTGAGCAGTGAGATATCACAGTCTTGTTGTTTGGTCTTCTTCACAAATATGGGGCGGTGGGGTAGCCTAGTGGTAAAGCGCTATTTGTCACGCCGAAGACCCGGTTCAATCCCCACATGGGTACAATGTATGAAGCCCATTTCTGGTGTCCCCTCACCGCGGATGTTGCTGGAATATTGCTAAAAGCAGCGTAAAACCAAACTCAGTCAGTCAGTCTTCACAAATATTGTATCTTTGGACTCCAGTGAGACTTTGGCCATTTGTGAAAATCAAGTTAATTTGTTTTCCAACTGTTATGATTAGCTTTCTGGTATTAGATGCTCATTTTCTCATGTGTAACTAAATAAACACCTGTTCTGCAGGACGTCTCCAAGAATTAAAGGTCTTCAGGTGCAATCTCCTTGAAATAAGCGGTTAAACAGTGGAACTTGATTTCTTTTCTTCAAACTTATGTGATATTTCAATTCGCATTTTACAGAAACAGAAAGTTATAATGCAGTGTACCTAGTAAACAGAGATTTCACAGGCTGCATGCATCGTGAGTTTGAGTCCAAGGTCCACTTCAGTAATGATCTGTCAGAACATTGTCCTGGGTTTATCAGAAGTGGTCAATTCAGCCTGTTTCATTTTCAGTTTCTGTGTCCCCTGGGGAAACATGGTGTAATATTTTGTGTCTTTTTGTGAAAGTAGGGGCCAAACTGCACCAACAAGAAAAAGTGGCAAGTTATGTGTGACGCCATATGCTACAGAAGGGAATGCGCTTGTTTAGATTAAGTGATGAAGTGGAGAGTCTTGTATGGACAGTCCAAAAAATGATTGTATTTCTTATTAGAAGAGAAAACATAAATGTCTATAATCACACACTTAAGTGTTGCAAGTTTCAGTCATTCCAAAAAATGTTTTTGTCAAATTGACTCACAATTGATATTAGTTCCATTCTGAATCATTTCATGTGTTGAAGGTGCAATATAATGCATCTGGTTCAAGCCTGCACATCATGTTGACACATGTTGATGTAACTTAAATACTGTTGACATAACTCACTGACTTCTGCGATGCAAAATGTGCTAAATATATACCAATGGGTGATAACACTGTGTGATGATAACACTGGGTGATACCATTGGGCAATCCCACTGAATGATATCATTTGTCAATCCCATTGGGTGATAACACTGTGTGATAATAACACTGGTTGATACCATTGGGCAATCCCACTGAATGATATCATTTGTCAATCCCATTGGGTGATAACACTGTGTGATAATAACACTGGGTGATACCATTGGGCAATCCCACTGAATGATATCATTTGTCAATCCCATTGGGTGATAACACTGTGTGATAATAACACTGGGTGATACCATTGGGCAATCCCACTGAATGATATCATTTGTCAATCCCATTGGGTGATAACACTGGGTGATACCATTGGGCAATCCCACTGAATGAATGTCAATCCCATTTGATATCATTTGTCAATCCCATTGGGTGATAACACTGTGTGATAATAACACTGGGTGATACCATTGGGCAATCCCACTGAATGATATCATTTGTCAATCCCATTGGGTGATAACACTGTGTGATAATAACACTGGGTGATACCATTGGGCAATCCCACTGAATGATATCATTTGTCAATCCCATTGGGTGATAACACTGGGTGATACCATTGGGCAATCCCACTGAATGATATCATTTGTCAATCCCATTGGGTGATAACACTGTGTGATAATAACACTGGGTGATACCATTGGGCAATCCCACTGAATGATATCATTTGTCAATCCCATTTGGTGATACCATTTGGCAATTTCCACCAGGCAATGCAGTGTATTTGTGTCCCTAAACAATAATATATTCCCTTCTACATAGCCTTTCACTATAGCACTAAATGATGCAAGTCTGGATTTTCCACCAGTACTGAATCTCCCATCTCACCAGGCTCCTTTTCAATTTAAATTGGGTTGTTGTATGTATCGAAGTTATATAGTTTCAGCATTAGTTTCCGCAGTGCAGATATTTCATCAGCTTTGGTATATGAATCATTCAGCATTCCATACATGTTTCATGGGTGTGCATTTAAAATTTTAAAGTGTTTTCAGAAAAAACACAATGACAATCAGAAAGTGTGAGCCAAACAGCAGGATGTAAAGAAGTGGTATCAGATGTGTTTATTGAACTGATAAACACAGCAGGTTGCCTCGCAGACATTCCCTAGATGTGAAATGTGAACACCAATTATCGGCATGTAATGCTATGATTAGACAGATTTAGCTGCAATTAACATTCTCAGAAGAGTGGTTTGTCAACAAGTGCTGCTGTTCAGTTGTTTGGGGCAAATTCTTATGGTACCAGCTATGTCATTTCTTGCTACAGATGGAATGATCAGTAGCTTTTTACTTTCATCTTCCTTTTCAAATATTCTGTGTTGCCAAACAACCTTTGGTTGGTTATCTGAACTTAGCTCTTAGTTCCCTTGGACTATTTTTAGTTGGGACCAATACAGTGGAAGTTGGTAGTTGGCAAATCGTTTTAGACTATTTTGTAGGGCTGCGTAATATAACTGGTTTACCGGTATTTACCGGTTCAGACATGAAAACGATACGTATTGCCATACACTGATCGAAACCGGTATTTTGACATGCATTCGAAAACTTCGTACGGAAATGTTCGGATATTTCCGTTTTTCAGACGGAAGTTTTGGCGACCCCTAACAACGAACAATTTATTGTGGTGCCAAAATACAAGGACAAAAGTTTCAGTATGGCAGCATTTGGGGTTGAA